ATACTGCTCCCGATCGCTAGCATTACCCTCAATTTGTTTAAAAAAATGTATATTGAAAAAAAGCTATATTAATAAAAGAATATAGACAGGCCAGGCGGCCTGGTGTTTTAAGCGGTCTGCCTGGCCTGACTGAGGGGTCGGCCTGGCCTGCCTGTCATAGGCCAGGCCTAAAAAACGTGGCCTGTGCCTGTGACAGGCAGGCAGGCAGGCCTAGTGGCCTGGTTGGACCTCTGATAGATAATATATCATGGGTTAAATTGATCAATAATAATTGAAATACGATATGAATACTTTATTCTTAGTATAGAATATTGTTCATAAAGAGCCTATTTTTGTACATCATACTATATATTGATTTGATTTTTCTCAATAATTTGAAGACAAATATTTTGAACTACATTTAAAATAATGTTTTAACAAAATTTCTTCATAAAAAAGTCTCAAACAGTCAGAAAAAGGCATTAGGATTTCAACATCATTCTATTAGAACTCGCTCGATATCTATAATTCAATATTTCGACAGTATCAATGCATTTGTCTTTTTACTATATCAATCTATTGAATTTAATAGATAATGTTTAAAAATAAACGTATTTAGACATTTATCTGAATGAATGTTTTAGTTTAAAAATATTTTTAAAGTATGTGTTTATTAATGAATAATAACATCTTTCTTTTTTTTCTAATTGAAAAAATGATTGTACGATTGTAATGATTAGTTTTTGGCCTTCTTTTTTTAAAATTTTTTATAATATAATCGTTATAAAGCTAACGATATCTATTTTATATAAATAAAAGAAAGAAAAGATATGAGTTTGTCTTTATTTTTCTTTGTATTCTTTTTACCATTTGCATGATCATTTTTTTACGTGTAACTTGAATTCAAGGACGATTATTTCGTGAGTCAGCTGTTGTCTCGTTATTCACCCCTTAATTTTTTCAAAGAATTGAAGAAGCGTAAATAGGATGAGACACGAGAGAAAGAAGAAGAATGTGAGCCATATAGAGAAACGACAAAATCCACGCCTTTGATGTTTGTCAATATTATTTTCGTTTAAAAGATACTATATAAATGAAACACATAAAAAACTTGTCGTATACAAAGACACAAGGATTAGAGATAAGTAGAAATGTTTTGATTGACATTAAGGATGTGATATAAGCTTGTTCTTCGAATTATATGGATATGAAATATGTAGTAAAAATTCATTTCAAACAAGCGTCATCAATAAATTCACCAAAAAGGTTTCTTTTAGAAATATTATTTAATATTAGATGATTATTATGCTGTTAACGATTTATTAAATCTGTTGATATGAGAATTTTTCTTCTCCTTTTTTACTAGATGGAAACGAAACCATTCATGAATATTGTTGTAGCAATGGACAAAAAAAAAATGCAATTGGAAATGAGAAGAAAATTCCATGGGCACCATTACCGACTGATTATCATTGGTATTTAACTCTCGCAACTACTACAAAAGATCCATCAAAACGTGTTGCACTTATTATAGGACGTATTACATTTGAAGATATTATTAATTTCGATCCAAAATATGTTTCACGATGGCATTTTATTATTATTACTCGACAATCACCAGAAATATTTGAGGGGTGTGGGTGTGGGTGTAGGTGTGGGTGAGTGTGTCTGGGTGTGGGTAGGTGTGACTATTTTTCTTCTTTTGTTACCCACACCCCAAATCGTACTCTTCATGAGAAAACAGTATTTTATTCCAAAAATATTCCGAGAGATTTAGACGATAATCATCGAGAGATACAGAAAACCTGAGACAATGTTAGCTGCTTTGATTTTGACCGACTCCTCTCGTTTCAGGATCAGTTTCCAAATGTATTATCAAGATTTCTTAATACTTTGGACCATCTAGAAATTGGAGAGCGGTGCAGCGAAGGAAGGTTGACTGTCTTCATCATCTTGGAATCCTTGAAATATGCATTCATATGCGTGGATAAAGTTATGTATACGCTCATTAGATTCTACTTTTCAAGAACTTTCGGTTGATATAGAATAACAATATATACCAGAGATCGGCGAGTCAGCCAAAAAAATGCCTCGCCACCGCATCGCCATACTGACGAGTTAACCATCGCTGCCTCGCCTCCTAAACCTCGACTCGCCTCGTCACCGCCTCGCCTCGCCTACGGTCTATTATAAAAATAGTTTTTTTTAGGCAGTTTTTCGACCACCCACAATAATCTATATCAAGTTTAATTCTTTTGATCAAATCAAGTACATTTAAGATATATAAATAAGTACAAAAAACAAAAATACAAGATTAGATACTAATAAATAATAATCATTCATTCTTTTTAATTGAACGAATAAACAATGCGTTGTTTATCTGTTGTGGATTTAATCGAGTACGTCTAGAGTTGACCATCACAGAATGGTCTGATATCCGTACAAACCCAGTCTACAAGAAGATTTTTTATTTTCTTACTTTCTTCTTCGTTTAGTTTAATCGATCCTGGGCGATTACAGGTGAAAGAAAGATTTTTTTTTGTTTTAAAGGTGATGAAGACGTTGTATCAGAGTATTTTGAAGATCTTATTGGTGAACTTCCACAAACATGTTTGTTCATTTGCGAGATACTATTATTATGGTAAGAATATGTAATATAGCAATGTTTACATGAAACAAAATTGTCTAGTTTTGTCAACACAACACCTTTATCATCAGTAACAGCTGGAAGGGTGTGGGTGTGGGGTGTGGGTGTGGGTGTGGGTGTGGGTGTGGGTGGGTGGTTGTGGGTGTGGGTGTGGTTGTGGGTGTGAGGGTGTGGGTGTAGAGTAGAGAATAATGCACACCCACAACCATATTCAAAAGAGAATCATCTGCAAATGCTTATATTTTATTTCGAAGAAGAATATTTCACGAAGATGTCAAATCGAAAATTCTTCATTCTACCTTTAATTCCTAAAACATACCATTGGTTGCTTTTATCATTATGAGAATGAAATATTGCTTATCTATAAGTCAGATGACCTACATTTTCGATAAAAATCTAGAGACAAAAATTTATGTTACTGTTCTAAAAGAATCATTCGACTTTATCATCTACACATGGAAATATATCCGTGAACTACTTGCTGTTGAAGTCTGACTGTGCCTATTGCGTTATTCAATTAAAGTCTTTAACACAGAGTTCAGCTCGAAGAATATTCTACTCGACTGACTTTTATTACATTTCCAGAATAATTTATAAGTTGTCCTACATGAAGCATTGAAGATAATTATTGAAGTTGCGAGACATTCATGTCTAACATTTTCCAGTATATGGCAATTCACTATTTGTCACAAGAATGTTAGTCTAGATGTTTACTCATCTTAGATTCGCACATTCTTATACTCATATTCTCGCTCATTATATCGTGCTGATCTATTAAAACAACCAGATGTTGTTTGTTCCCACGATTGAGAAAATATGAAAATAATAATTCCTCTCGATCTAATTGAATTTGCAAGAGCGCTTAACGATCATTTGGAAAAGTAAGAAGACAAATTTGTGTATAGTTTTTTAGTTCCACAACTTCTCATATATTGTTCGAGCTTTATCAATTTGGTAGAGCACCCCCTATTAAGGTTCGACAATGTGCTTTATATCTCATTTTATTCAAAGCGAAAGAAAATACAAAATTTTAATCAAACGCAAGATCAATCATCCCATCTTAGCGACCCGTTGCGGTTGCTATAGCACCACCAATGCCTGCGCCAAGTTGCAAGACAGCATTTATCCATAATGGATTTGCTACAAGGCCAATAATGAGTGGAATAACTCTTTCTTCTAAAGCCTTTTGTTGAATAGCAGCATTCACTTCATGTCTGAGATCCTCAAATGATGATGGTGCACCATATGAGCCTGAAAAATGAAGCTATCTATTAAATAGTGCGATAGAAATATTTTTACCATGAAGAATACCGATGATAAGAATGAATGAGAGCACAAAGAAAGTTTGCATTGTTGTATTTTGTTTTGTAGTTGAGCTGATCGAACATTGAATTTATAGTCAAATTGGAGTCTTATTTTTTGATCGATTTCATCTGTTATTTTTCCTGTAATAATGCTACAGATGCTGTAATTGTTCTTTTCATAGTAACGAAAAAGTAGGGTTAACAGGAACTATTGTCCTTGCAATAGAACTTCAGATGTGAGAATCACCATATGGTTTTCAATCACTGAAAATAATAGCTTCTTTCATACAACTGAAAGCAGTATTTTATCTCTAATCTAGATTATTTAAATGAGAAAAAAATGCAGCTTTCATTTTCGTTTGGTATGGGTATTTTGAAGTGGGTTCTGTAGCAAGAGAAAAAGAACAACTTCTGGTGGTTCTTGGTAGATACCACTTGACTAAAGATTTCAGTAACTCCTTTCTCTCTTGCTTTATACGTGTGGTGTTCCTAATTATTTGGTTCTCATATAAATTGATTTTTTCAAGTTTCTTCTAATTTCAAGACTGCCATTTCATCTTGGCATACAATCACTTTGAGATTGACGTGACATGGCTTGCCCAAGTTCAACTAGTATTGGAATTTCTCAATCAGAATGATTTGTTGCTATAATTATTTTTCTTAGGAATAAACTCTAATGTGATGTGAATATGTTACTTTTGTATTCTTTTTGCTATTGTTTTAATAGAATTTTATTTTAGGTTGGTTCATCTTTATTGCTTTTTCTAGCTCTCTGCGAATTAACAATATGTCCAACAGTTCAATTTTCATATGAAAAAAATCGCAATGTTCAATAATATTTGTATGTAAACCAATGTAAATGTAAATTTTCAGATACGAAGTTGAGTCAAAATAGTTAGAACTTGACTCCTATTCACTTGAATAAACGATACAACGCATATTATTTTCTCTTCCAGAGCTGGAACCGGTAAGAAATTTTGAAAACGGTCCGGTCCGGCCGGTTGAAAAATTCAACCGGTCTGGTCCGGCCGGAAAACGGCCGTTTATAAGTTGTTCTTGAACCGGTGAATTTCCGGCAAACTGAATAGGTACTGATATGAATACAAGTAATGCTTCTGTATTTTCGATGTAGATTGTTGAAAAAAGTTCGGCTTTGAACTATGATTTTCAACGTATATTTCAGAGAACTATAATTCTTGATGACATGTGATTAAAGTTTGCTCAATTCTGTAGAAAAAAGCTTGTTAGCACAGCTCCTGCGGAGCTGAAATGTGGAACTCACGTATACCTTTAGTTTTGTTACCTGACGCATCATCTGTATACTGAAAGACTTCTTGTCAGCTATAGTTGCTTTCATTGAGAGTCGATGAAAAGAGCGGGAATTTATTATTTGCTTGGATATTATAAAAATATATTAAGCGCGCTCGATTTCATTTATAATCATTGCTATATACTCGATAATAATCATTTTTTTTGTTTTTTAATTCGAAATTATTTTTCTCCACCATCGACTAT